AGCATTCGCTGGCTGGGGAATTCTGGGAGTTGAAGTCCGGACATCTTCAAGTTGCCAAGGTTGAGAAACACTGCTTTAGCTGAATCTTTGTTAAATGGAAGCATTTCTGTAAAACTTTGCCCAGCCCTATTACATGCTGTCTGTTCAAGATATATAAAGTCACAATTGTACAACCAGTTGTACTCATCAGGTTATCTTTAGTGCTTTAGCTTGTACCAGTCCTATCCTCCCCATATTCATTTATGAAGTTTCATTCAATTATGGACTTCTGAAGGAGAATCTAAGCATACTACTTGATGTAGCTTGCTTATCGTTATAAGCCATGATTTTTATGACCATTTTTGTTGATTAAGCCAAATAAATACAAGGTTTACAAATTATATACTGGTAATTGTGGGGGGCTTGCACACCAAATTAGGTTCAAACCCAACAATCTAGTGTCATTTAACATAAGTATATGAGGCATCTTAAGAATTTTCTCCATGATTAGAGATTTTGTTCATGGAAAGCTAGTGCTTGTGAGTTGAACTTTACAATCAATCTAGGAAGCCTGAAAGTGACAAGAGAGACACTTTTGTTTGTGGGAATGTAGAAATGTATGATCTTTTACTTTTTTCTGAAGACTGAATAGGACCATGTCCCTTTAAAAAGAATAGGTTGCCTACAGTGTGACTGAGCAAGGCAACTTTAGTAAGATTAAAGCTGCTATGTTTACTTAATGGAACAAAAAGTTGCATATGTTCAATTTAAATGTATTGATATGGTCTGGATATTGCTGTCCCCATTTTTCACCTCTGAATGCTATGTGACACCAACTGTATTAAATAATAGTTTCACTGTGTACTGTATTAATCAGATTCCATCTCATCTATTACAATATATTTAATTCTAGGATCCACATCTGAAGAAGAACTCAGACAAACTAGAACTGAATCAAAGAAGTGTGAGAAGCATAACCAGAGGACTCCCTTTTTCAAACAGGATGACATACTAAAGAAAGTTAAACGTTACTTTTCAGTGTTGCACATTGCAGAACACAGAATAGTTGACTAAAGTTATTGGCAGACAAATTTCATTTGAATGCAATAAAAAGAATCTAATTGTAAGGGTTGATTAACTGTAGAACCCAAATTAGTTACGGGGCATTCATTTCTTCAGTAATCTATCAGAGTTCAACTTGTGCCCTTAATGAAAATGTTATTGTCTGATCATACTTCAAATTTAATTTCCTCAAGTACATTACTTAGTTTTCTTATGTGATCTGTAAACAGCTCATGAAGGACCCAATGGAAGACAGTGATGTGGGTTTTAGGTATCTGATATGCCAACAATGACTTAAAAACCAACTGGCCAGTGGGAGGCATGCACACATGCGTGGCGGAGTTGACCTGGTGACAACTCGTGTGCCCGCAGAGAGGGCTCTGCATGCCACCCATGGCACGCATGCCATAGGTTCGCCATCACAGGCAATTACACACATGCTTCACCTTCTCCATCAGAAGTACAACTTTATCTTCTTGAGAGCTTCTTCCTCAAAATACAAATCTACCTACACATGTCCATCAGGCATGAAGTTTCCAACCACAGGGTGGGAGTAAGACATTTTGTTGCCTGGGAGCAAAATACAGCTCAATTCATACATCAAGTTTGATTTCAATTCTGATGAAAAAACAACTTTCATCCCACCTGAAGGCAAACGTCTAATTTACTGGATGCAGGACTGGATGTACCTTAGGGCACAATCTGCTCTGCCTCCAATTTGTCAACACTGCATCTCCCCTTCAGTATGTGCAATCTAAAATGACTGCCACATTCAGTCTAATGGTAAAGCCAGCCTTGCCCAAGCATCTATATATAGCACTCACATATTAATCATGAGAAGGCAAATGGTAACATGATTTCTCACAAAAGTAGGACATATCTGGCCTTATATAATATAGAATGATATGCTTTGCTTCCTCAGGGAATGAAACTGCATGGCTTGCTGCAGATCTGAAATGGAGACCACTATTTCTGGTTCTAATTGGTGTTAAGTATATGAGTGCTACTCTGAACTATTTGTTAGCATGTACTAGCTACTTAATCCCCTGCACCCTGGAGCTCATTTCAGTGTTGAAATTGCTGGGAATTGCTATATAATTTTCCCCAGTGTTTCAGAGTAATGCTACAAGCTGGAGAAAATTCTAGGAGATTGAAATGGCTATTCAACTCCAGCAACGTATTTAAGCATTATTGCTGAAGTAGTATTGATGCCACACTGATGAAGAACTGTTCTGCCATAGAATAGAAAGGCGGCACTGCAGGGTGATTGAGATGCAGGCTCCCCGTCTGTCTGAACCAGCCCTTGTAGCTTTAGTTGATGTGCTGTTGTACACTCGGTCTCAATTAAATTGATAAAGTACACATATAGTTTATTCGCCTGGACAAAATTAATTGTACACTTTGGAGATGTGTTTTGTTATGCATCTGAAAGGTTTTATTTAATAATGTGGAGGACTTTAAATCAACAAAATTAGAAGGAAAATAAGCTGTCTTACATGAGTCTGGATAAAAGGGTTGAGCGTGAGAGTGCCATCTTTTTAAATATTGAGGTGCCCACAACATGTTGTTTTCTTTAAAAAAACTGAATCCCCTAGCATGTCTTTTTAAGTAAATAGTTCACCTTTAATAGAAAGAACTACAATTTCTTGAAACTGTTGAAGAATTCATTGGCATTTATGTCGGTGGGAAAAGTTTTGTTTTTGGATTTCCTAAAATTTAGCTTCAGTATATTATCATCAAGATGGCTATAAGAAAATGGTATTCATAAGTATACAAAGGCTTGGCAGTTGTAGGAAAGGCAAATTTGTTTAAAAGTATGTCAGTTATAGTGGAATCCACTAAGAGGATGTCCTCATACAGTGATGGGTTTCTTTACACAGTAATAGTAATGACTGAATAATAAATTGATTTAATATTTTCATTTTTATCCAGTACTTCTTAGTGAAGCATACATTATATTACTATTTGAGTACAGCCTATTGTTTATGTACCTCCCGTCCTATTTTTTTTAAAAAAGGAAACATTAGACTGCAGAGACAAATTACGCATAATTTAAATTTTCAAGATTGTACCACTTCAGACTGTTGACTGGCAAATTACCTCTGTGTAAACCAGCAGCCTCACATCTGGCGGAAGGAAATTTGGAACTACTGGGCTTGATCAAGACCTGTTGGCTGGGGAATTTTGGGAGCTGAACTCCAAATATTTTACTGTTGTCAAGGCTGAGAAACACTTTCATAGAGTAATCTCTTTAAAATAAACGTGGCACACAATAATGATTTAACTCCCATGGATTCAATAAATCAATTGTCATAGCTTCCTTTTGTATTGCTCAACTAACACTAAGGAGGACAGACTTTATATAATTTTAAAGATGATGAAGTGATACCATGAAAATACAGTAAATGCTAGTGGGGATATAGCCCAAATCTAGGTCCATGTCATTGTTTCAAACATATTACTTTTCTATAGACAGTTTCAGATGTAGGAGAAACTTTCACCTCTTTGATGAAATGATAGAGCTTCAGAAGAAATCTATGTATTTTCTGTAATGCACCATTCTGATGAAACAAGTTTCTGATCTGTTTGCTTTTTATTGTTCCTTTTGCTTAATGTATAAGCACTGCTTTGTGCAATAAAGAATGGATTTACATATCTATTATAATCACCCTTAATTGTACAAAGTAGCATGTGTGTGTTCAGGACATTGCATGCGTGCTGCACATATGGAATGAGGGCATCTGCATAAAATTCATTTGTGCTGTGTTATTTGATTTGAAAATTATAAATGTATGTTTAGCCATTATTTTAAAAGCGAATAAAAGCTACCGGGCCCCAATTCAAAGTTCCTTATTCTTTATTGTTTTCAGCTAAATAAAAAGGTCTAATTCTGGGAATTATTTTTTCCTTTCCTTTCCTTTCAACCACTTGAAATACCCTCCCTCATTTGCCAATTTGTCCAAATATGAAACAGCTGCCTAGCTGCCTTACCAAGAAGATTTTATTGTTAAAATAAAAGTAGATTTTGTTTCGGGAAAAAAGAACACACATATTCTTTGTAAAACTCATGTTTGGTTTACAATTAGAGAAAAGTCACATGGTCCCAAAAAGCCAAGGGTATTTTTGTCTACATATATATGTATGTATATGTGTATGTATATATATATATATATACATATATATATATATGATATTTAAAAACATAAACATCTATATTTAAACATATATTATATGTTAATCAGTACATTTAAATATAGCTTAATTATATTTACAATTTGATGCAGATCTTGTAAGATTTAATGCCAGATTCATTTTTTCCAAAAAAGTCCCATAAAATTATATAAATATACAATAAATATCTGTTATACATGGAGAATAAGAGAGAACAAGGCCACAAACATTAACTTACATTTCCATTTTTTTTTCAAAACAAAACAATAGGGCCAATGACAATGAAATATTTCCGCCACAGACAAAACACAGCAAAACGTCAACTGACTGACATTTTTGAAATCTCAGGTCCACTAAAACTGCCAAGCCTGTTGTAATGTATTTTGCAATAATAGGTCTGGTCTAGCATAACCATGGGTGTTAAAAATAGTGAAGGGTCTGGGTGGGGATAAAGAACTTAAAAATAATTGCAATGTTTGGGAAACTTAATTCATGAAATGCCAATTTGTTGCATAGCAAATTCTTTGAGATTTCTGTATTCTAATAAAGATCTGTGACTATTTGCACAGTTCCAAATGCAGCTATTAATCTATGTTTACTACTAGTAGTTATATGAACTGCACCTTCATATTAAGTTCCCATTCTGTGGTCTTCTAGCCTCATCCGCATCCTTCTTGTTGGATAAAATGGGAACCCTACAGCAACGCGAGGAAGTTAGAGTTAAATGTGAAAGATTTATAAACCTATATCATTATGGGCCTCCTTGTCTATTCTCCAATGTCTTGGGAGGCATCTTATACTGAGAAAAAATTGCTGCTACTGTTCCTATTATTATTTCATAACTATTAGGGAGATAATAGTTCATTATTATCAACAGAGGGATAGAATCACCCTCTTCTTATTAAAGAAATATTTCTTTAATGCAGACTAATTCTAGCTATTTCTAATTGCATCTTGGTCAATTCATTTCTTTTCACTGTTAAAAATGAAACACTTTTAATTCAGAGTAAGATTATGCCTATCCCCAATCACTGTGGATAGCAAGATGGGTAGCATATAAATTTAATAAATAAATAAAATAAATATGTTCTAGACTCCCCACTCACAGGTCACACTAACAGAGCGTATCTGATATGCGGTTTTGATTATGTTTAACTCTTTCAGACTGCAGACCACAGTTATTGCTCGTCACTTAAGGGAATTTGGGTGGCTTACTTTAGTAATCCCTAATTAATCATATGGCAGAGCTGGAGGGAAATACATTTTTTGTGAACATGATTATTTGAATCTGTGTGCTGTAGTTAAGAGGATTAGGTAACATTAGCACACAGAAAAAAACATTTCCGCTAATAGACTAAGAAAATCAGGCTATGGAACTATCTCAGAGATTACAAGGCTTCCTTTCTATTTCTGCTCTCAGTTGTGTGAACAAAAACACCTTCTTACATGGAATGGTTTTATACAATCTTTTCTTTTTATGTAATAGGGGTTGTTATAACAGAGATGCTTTTCCATTTCCTAATAATATGGTATTATCATAGGTCTAAAGGAACAGGTTAAAGAAAGGGATGGTCATAAGCTGGAAAATGTGATCCAGCTCCAGCTCCATTTTCCCTTACAAAGGATAATGTTCTGTCTATTTTGCTTTAAGAACCATTTGATTGCCTGACTTTAGGCAGACATTGTTGAATAATGAAACCGTATCTACTGCTTAGTGTCTTGGATCAATGGTTTACTTCAATACTAAACTCATGTCTGTGCATGTACAGTTTAATCCTATTTTTCAAATATTAGAAGCCAGTAAAAAGCTTTGCTATTTTAGTTTTTTAAATTTTTAAAAAATATATATACTTAGATTTTGTCGGTGTCCACATTTTCTTTTTGGTAACTCTTCACTTGCATGTTAATGATATGGGATTTACTAGTTTCCACGATTAAATAAAATAGTTGGAATTACAGTAGCTGCTACCTAAATTACTGCTGCGTTAAGTAAGACATATTCTGAGATTTTAATCTTTAAAAAAATGTAGGTTTTGGTCAAGAAATAAAATGTTATCTTAGTATCACTAGCCTCATTCACCCAAAGACTAACCCCTCCCCCCACGATCTATGCCTAAAACTGTATTAAAGACTGTGAATTAGGCTTCTGTATCTTATTCTCACAGGAAACAACTTAGTCAAAGAGTAGGGATTTTGCTTAGCTTTCTTGTTGACTTTCTAAGCAGGTTGTTTGGGTGTGGGGAGGTATTCTACCTGCAGTCTGAAGTGGTACAGTCCAAGCTTCCTTCGCCTATTTATATGATTCTCATAACAAGGATTTATTTGTGGCAAAACGAATCATCTGGGAAAGCATGCCTTGTTGCTGTGAAATAATGCTAGATACTAAATGACATTGTGTGCATTCTAATACATGGATCATATGAGACAGGCTATTAGGGGGTGGGGATTCTTCAAACTTCTTGCAAGAATAAGAATACTTATATATATTAGACTAACTGACTATTTGTGTTCTGGGTTGTGTTGGATTTGTTTATCATTACCCATGGCCTAAGGCTTTAATTCTGTGGTCAGCTCCTTGCATGTGCATCCCACGGAAATCAACTATAATTAAAGTGCATACAACCGATGCCAGGTCTGTATCCCATCGTTTAGGGATTTTAAATCAAAGCTCCCTGTAGGAGTTAAGGCTATTTTGTGCTACCCTTTAGAAAGACATAGATGCATATAGCCATATTTAAAAGCAACAGGTAGTTAGGTTTTGAGGTAGAAGGCTCTGTCTTTCTGATTCCAGAGCCACTCCTTCCAGCCTGAATGGTTTCATAGCACAGAAAACTGATCCTTGAAAATGAAAATATTCTAGACATTACTTTTATTTTAAGATCAGGCTGTACTATGTGTATAGTATCTCATGGATCTGTTTCACTGAGTTCCATGGGTGCTATTCAGTTGAGATTACTACACCTGCCATTGTGAACAGAAGCCAATGAGATATAAGTGCTGAATAGTGCTTAATTACAATAATAATGGCATCTTAACCATTTTTGCACAAATGTGATCAGATGTTCAGTTTATGTTTCGTTGTTGGGATTTACTAATGTCCTTTAACAATACCGGTGTTCCAATCACAATAAATTAGTTGTCCCAATACAACTCTGGCTGCATGGCCAGTGACTTTCCTATGGGGATATGATTCTCCATCCCCATCAATAGAGGCACCTATTAAAGCTTGATACCATCTAGCATCAAGAATAATGGACGCATATCAATGTATGTCTAGTTCTTCCATGTTTGATTGAAATATACTGTTAGTGCTCAACACCTTGGGAGAGGGAAAAAATTACATCTGAAAAACTAGGATGCTTTTGCTTCCCAAGATAAGACCCCATAGGCAACCCGGACATGAAACAATGTCTTAGAAGCCAGCACTTGTCAACCTGGTGACCTCTAGATGTGCTGGGAATGCAGCTTTAAGTGGGGATTCTGGGAGATGTAGTCTCCACTTAGCTGAAGGATGGAAAAGGCTGTTACAAGCAAAATTCAAGGAATCCCCATGGTCTGTAACCAAAATGGAAGGATAGCTTGTAGTGAAGACTAGAAAAGAGCACTGGGCAGAAGATCAACATTGACTTTTTTTAGTTGCCTCTTCTTTATTTATTTTTTCAGTAGTCTGATTTGATATCGCAAACACCTTCACAACATACAACCCCCCCCCCAAAAAAATTCAAAATTTGTTTCTCCAGAACACATATATGTCAATGGCAAGGAGAAGGGTCTCTCCTCTTTTAAAAGCATGTGGGGATTTTAAACTTAAAAAAAGGTCAACAGGAAAACTATGACAACAGCACCTTGACATTATTTTAATTCCAACGCTACCAGAATTTAAAAGCAGTTAACAGATATAATACTAACAGGAATAAAGATACTTACTGTCTAAAATGTAAACGGAATGTTTTGGTTCAAATTTTTTTTTTCTCGAAAAGAGGACAGTTTCTCATCAATTCACAATTGAAGCAGCATGCAATTTTATTTTTTTAATTTTTTTTTTAAAGTTTTCAATTCTTGGCAACGGCAACAAATCACAATGTTAGAGGAATGTAATGCAATTTTGTTTGTTTTCAAAGTTGTGCACAAATGGATTTTTTTTTCTCCTTTTGTTCCCTTTTAGGTCATGGACATGTTCAATAAATAGATTGTGGAACCACGGTACTGTATAAACTTCCTTTATACATGCAGTCCATAAAATTATTTTCTTTCTTACTGAATAATTTACCCTGTTATGTATATATACAAATAGATAATTTTTGACTCAATATAATCTATCCAACATGAATCCACTATCTTCCCCTTTTGATGGTCAGTGTACAAACACAGGAAGTGTCTATTCTTATAAAGCGCCATCCAACTCTCTTTTTGTTATCCATGGTGAGAGCGCGGACGTAAGACTGAGTAGTTCGGCACTGGGAATTCCAGTACCTCTTGTCTATGCCCCTACAGCCTTCTTTTGCATAACCCTTCGTGCTGCACTTGGTCTCATAAAAATATTGCTTCAGTTGGCCTTTGGGCACTGGGACTTTTTCCAGGACTGTAACTGTTGCTCCAGACATGTCTACTGCAGTCTTTTTTTCAGCCGCTGTCACCCACTCACTAGTACTGTCACACACACTCAGCTCCCCACGGCGAGCAGGGTCAGAATGGCGCCGTACCCTCATGGACATGTTTGCGGCATCCAAGTAGTTTTTATACTCCTCGAGCAGGAAAAGCAGAGGAGGCTCCAAAGGCACTTGACTGCTTAGCATCACCCGTGATGAGTACAAGTCGGCATCCTTATTTTCTTTGCTGGGTTGGATGACCTGCTGCTCGTCCAGGAGCTCCTCAATGACATGTTCAAAAGTGTCTGCCAAAGATGTTAATCCTCTGGTGGCGTCATTGGGCCCACTGAGGGTCTCCAGATTTCCCTGTGTCCGGAGACCAGGATAAGCCAAGCTGCCTTGTCCTCTGATACTAACTTCCTTCATGGGGGCAGCTTTCATGCAACTCAAGTATGAAATAACCATAGTAAGGAAAAGGATGGTCATCACTCTTTTCACTTGGTGGAACTGTTCAAGAGAAGAAAAGAAATGGAAAAGAAATTGAAAACAAATACATTTTTTAAAAAAAGCATAAGCTACACAGATAAGTTCCCCCCCCCCCCAATAGTTGGAAAAAGCTAGACATTTATTCATCTCTCTATGATACGATACCTTCAAGATGGATTGGGATTGCACCTCCCAGAATTCCAACTCAGGACAGAAGGCTCATTGGCAACATTTCTCTGAGTTGCAATCAAACATATTAGGTAGGGCATCACGTTGGGGAGGATACATTATAAATCCATCCACTATTGGAACATGGGTAACACAACCTGAAGTTTTATTCAGGATCTGGTTCCCATAGGACATTAGCATGGAGGATGCTCAGAAACTTTCAGGAATTAATATTTGGTCACAGAGGTTTGGAAACTCTGGATTGGTACAGATAATAGAACTATGGCCTGATTTAGAAACTAGATTGCCCTATGATTTGTTTAACAGTGGTGTGTTGTTGAATAAATCAGAGTTATTTGGATTCTTTCAACATACTTAAGACATAAGGTATAGTTCACAAACCACAAAGATAGGATCCAAAACCAAACAAATTGCACTGTGGCTTCTTACAGTGTTTGAAATCCACCCAAGTACTACTCTCTTCTAATCACTGTACAACAGTGTTCCCCTGTTTTATTTTTTTATATCATATATCAAATGCTGTCATTTAAGTAGCTGTCTACAGCAGATGCTCTTGATTGGAGTATCCTGCTAGGAACAAGTTAAAAATGTTTGCCTAGAAGTCCCAAGGCCTTTGTGGAGAAAATGTCACACTTTAGGCATGATAATTAATTATTCTCTATTTGTATGACAAGTGTTAACAGTATGTTTGGAAAGGTTACCAAGCATCTGTGATACGCTTGCAGTAATTGGAAAAAAACCAGAAAATTATTGTCTTTTGCAGGAAAATCTCAGTTTGGAGTTTGAAATTATATGCACTAATTCTGCAGAAATAAAAGCAATATTATGTCATTTTAAATGGAAAAATATATTATAAATAGACGACCCAATAATCTATAGTACACCTGATCTGCAAACAATCAAAAACATTGAAGAAACTAGCTGCATACAGATTCTACCTGCAAGTCAGTCAGGTTCTAGAAAATTTTCAAGCATTAACTTCAGACAAGACCTTTCTTAAAAAAATAATGACCACTTTTACACAAATACCCAATAATAAAAGAAAGTAGATAGTGTCATTGTAAGTCAAACGTTCTGTTAACCAATTCTGAATTTTAGTAATTTCTTGGAATCTACTAAAGTTGCAACTCTTCAAATTTTAGAGGGCAAGAAGTTTCATTATACAGGTCTTCATCCCCCGTAACCCATGGCATAAAAATTATTAACAGATTCCACTTAGGAGTTTCGCATAAACTCAGTTTATACTGGATGAGAAAACAGCCCTGCAGATACAGTATGCCCAGGTAGAACTCAGTTTAACATGTAAATAAACCACAGCCTGAATAAACCATGATTTGCATTACAGATCAGGCCATTTAGACTTGTTCAGCCAACTGTACCTGAAACAAATCAAGACTGAGCATAATGAATCTTCTTGTTTGTTGTTCATGGAATTACAGCAGTGACACAATGGGTTTTTTTTGTTATTTTTTTTTAAATATCATTTTTTTAAAATTTTCCCTTTCTAATTATAGAATACTCGAAGTGGCTAATAATCTGTAGTTATATACCAAATTTAAGATACCTCTGGTCAGACTGCATGTTCCAGGGTATTCTGGGTGAATATAATCTGATAGCACTTTTATACTATACAAAGTTAACCACAACTCCTTTCTACTAATTGGAATGCATGCTTACTACTTCTGAACAGTTGTTTACAGATTCAAAGTAAATGGACATGACAAATGCAGATGTTTGGGTACTCTTTCAGTCAATGGTTTGGCAGAAATAATAATTTCCAATATTTTTATAGCTGTCCAAGATTAAAAATATCTTGGAATTTTTCTCCACTGTTTCTTGCAGAACAATTCTAGCTCAGAAATATTCTTAGATCTCCATATATGCATTGAATGCCCCCAAATGATTTTCAAGTCTATAAACTATGAAGACTATTCCAAAACATCTACTTCAAGATGGATTTTGTTGAGATAGCCAACTTCTTTCTAGATTTATTCTTTTCATGATTATGGAACAGCTGGAAAATCAAGAAAAATCACTGGTAGAATTACTCCCAACTAAACATACTTGCAAAACAGAACCTACAAATTACTGCAAGCAATTGCCTGAAAACTTTACCTGACACTGGAGCAGGTATCTATAGGTCCACACAACACTGCTGCTTATACAATGATGTGCATGGGAGAGTTGTTAGAAGGAAACCTCACCGCAAAAACCATTCTCTAAATTGTGCAAAAGAAAAGCACAAGAAACCTGAAATATTTGGGATCAAAATACTTTGGAAAAATGAAACAAAAATTAAACTGTTGAGCCACAACTCCATAGGATACATCTGGTGAAACAAGGCCAAAGTACTAAATAAAATCACATTTTGCCAACCATTAAGCACAGGGAGTGGCAGTATTATGCTTTGGGGATGTGTGGCAACCAATTCTTCCTCTGATGAGTTTAGCAAAGAAAGGTGGACATAAAATCCAGAATAAACATAAAAAGACACTTATCTGATTACAGAAAACACTCTGAAGCTATTAATTTTCCCAAAAGATCTTATAAAAGTCTAACTGGAAAAGGTTTACAAACTTTGATACCTGCCATAGCCATTGTTTTGTTATTTTGATGAACAGCAGCACACAGGGCTCAGCTACATAGCCTAGAAGGGTATATGTAGATAAAAATACCCCATTTAATATTTTATGAAGACCTGTCCTCCCAACAGAGGTTTGTTCTCATAGATAGCATACTACCAAAATAAGCAGAAGCCAGTCCACCATAGTCCAACATGAAAGCATGTTTGATTTGGAAAAATGGAAGATCTCCCATCTGGACAACCAATGGTGCATTAAAAAGATGACAGAAAAGTGACGACCTGCTCCAGTAGGACTAGAACTGAGGGCTACATCAGTGTTGTGTTTAACCTCGTGTGTGTGTGTGTGTGTGTGTGTGTGTGTGGCCAGCTCAACATCATTTGAATTGGGAGCCTTTGCCGAGGCCTCTGCATTGCTCTACTAGTCAAAATGGAGCTTGGGAGAGCCACATGTGTCTCTCCTGAGCTCTGTTTTCACTGGCACAAGCTGGTCCTTTGCTGTTTCCAGGATGGGCCCATAGGCCAGATCCAAGAACCCTGAAGGCCAAATTAGCCCGCGGGCCTTGAGCTTGACACCCCTGGCCTAGAAGACCAGCTATTTGGTTTATGGGTTCAATGCCTGTTCTTCAATATTGTTATAGCTGATGAACAGAATGGAGCCGTGGCTCCCTCAGAGTAGTTGGCTCATTGTTAACCCTAAAATTGGCTTCCCCATTCCCAGTTTAATACATGTAATTAAAAGGACTCAGCTACTACTATAGCCTGTGCAGTGGGGAATTCTTGTTCCTGGTTATTGTTCTTGGGGAAGGCAGAAATTTAACTTCCTCTCTTCACTCCATTTAGAATATCATTTAGTATAGATCTGGCTTTAACATATAGTCATTTTCCTCTTCTCCTATCCTTTTGGATATGCAGAGCTTTAGATACACTGATTTAACCCAAGAATCAGTAAAGTAATTTCTTAGATGTTAGCTTTTCTAAATACTTATCTAATGTCAGCATTTGGCTGCAGGGTCTGGATGACCACTATTTGACAGGCATATTGAACAAGAAGTTCAATATTTTACTGTCTACTAGTGGTTGATAGGTCAACTAGTCAATAATCATTAGAAAAATTATGCAGAAATACCCAAGTGTACTCATTGCGAAAAACACATCTCACACAAACCAAAATCATTTTCTTGAACTCCTCCAAGAACATTTATGGAGCACCTGCATAAATCCAGGGAATTACTACACAGTTATGATAGATGAATTCTTTGCACCCATCTAGTGGTAGTCTGGGTGATAGGTTGAGAGTTATTTGGGGGAAACACAAATTAAAAAAAATATATTGGGTGTGGTGGCTGAACCTTGGAAGCACCACCCTAGCACATTCCATGTGGTGATTCGACATAGGTTTTCTTATGGTTGGTGCTTTTCAAATTTTAGTCAAGGACAATTGCCAACCATTGTCATTATAGTATGTGTGAAAGATCTGTGTGAGCATGGCCCCATTCCTGATACTTACTTACTTACTTACTTACTTACTTACTTACTTACTTACTTACTTACTTTATTTATTTATTTAC